ATATATATATATATATATATATATATATACTACCTTTCTATCTATTTATTTATCTATTTGTGTGTAGGGATATGAAGTACCGACAAGGTACAAAAGCATTTATTTCTGCGATACGAAATGCAGGATCTACTCTTTATTTCTCGTAGTAACAAAGGAAATACTGTTGAACGAATAGGGGAGAACTACAGCCAAGCAAGGAATATAAAGAAAAAAAAAAAGAAGGAAAAAAAAAGGAACTTTTTCTTATTGCATTCCCCAGTACGGGCATCTAAATGGATTTCTTCAGGAATAACTTATGTTTTTTTTCATTCTAATTTCTTAATTCCTTCTTTTTTTCCGATTTCACTTTATTTTTTTTTCTTTTCTTTGAACGATTGCACGTCAACGACATTTCGGTTGTGTGGCTGCTTCTGTTCTTTGTGTTTCTCACTTTGTTGATGCCTTATCTCACTCCTGCGACGGCAGATCAGCCATCAAACAGAGAAATAACAACAATAAAAAAAAAAAGAATCAATAAAACCAAATCATACAAAGGAAATATGGAGCTAAACAACCGCACAATGAAGGACATTCCTTCGCACGTGGAGCCGTTCGGGTTTGACCGGAGTAAGGTGACTCCGGGTATCATGCACTTCGGCGTTGGGCAGTTCTGCCGCGGCCATCTGATGTTGTTCGTACGTGATATTCTCCGCCTCTCCGCGAAAGAGGGTGGCCGTTACAATGACTGGGGCGTGGTGGGCGTGAATGTACCGGCAGGGCCAAGGGAAAAACAGATGGAGGTGGACTTCAAGAAACAGGACTGTCTGTATACATTCACAACACTTTCCACCGAAGGGGAGGCGAAGCATTACTTAATGGGATCCATGCTGGATTACATGTACGCCCCAGAAGAACAGGCGAAGGTGCTGCGCATGTTGAAGGATCCACGTATTAAGATTATCTCCCTCACCATCACAGAAGGTGGTTACAACATTGATGAGAAGAAGGGCGTCTTTGATCTCAAAAATCGTGACGTACAACACGACATTTGCAACCCACAAGCACCCAAAACCGTATTTGGTTACATTGTGGAGGGACTTCGCCGCCGCCGCGAGGCGGGTGTGCCGCCATTCACAATCATGTCATGTGATAACTTGCGACATAACGGTGAAGTGGCAAAGAAGGCCGTTCTCGGCTACGCAAAGGCTGTAAACCCGGAGTTGGCTGCGTGGATTAAAGCAAACGTGAAGTTTCCAAACAGCATGGTAGACCGCATCACACCCGCCACCACCCCTGACAAGCGTGAGGAACTAAACAAGATGACAGGCATTGCCGATCGCGAGCCAGTTGTGGGGGAGGACTTCTATCAATGGGTGATTGAAGATAAATTCAACAATGGCGTGCGGCCACCGTGGGATCGTGTGGGGGTTACATTCTCAACAGATGTTCCCGGTTATGAAAACGCCAAGGTGCGTATTCTGAACTCCTCACATATCCTTCTCAGCTTCCCTGCACTCCTGCTGGGTATGACGTACATCCATGAGGGCATGTGTGATCCGGATATTTACCGATTGGTGAATGAGGCACTGGAGAAGAATGTTCTTCCAACACTACGTGTACCCGACGGTGTGGATATTGTGCAGTACAAGGATAAAATTCTATCACGCTTTAAGAATGCTGGTATTGGCGATCAACTCCTTCGTGTGGCCGGTGATGGCTGCTCTAAGGTCCAAGTCTTCTGGACGGAAAACGTTACGGCTGTTCTCCGCAAGAGAATGGATCCCTCTCTCTTTGCTTTTGGCATTGCGGCCTATCTGGAGATGTTGCGCGGCAAGGATGAGAAGGGCAATGAGATTCCCATCTTTGAGCCAACTCTGCCAAAGGGATATGAGAAACTTGTGCGAAGCAGTGATTTGGCCGCCGCCCTGCAGCTCCCCGCCTTTGACTCGTGGCGGTCCATGGACCACGCACAGCTGGACCGGGATGTCGTGATGTTCCGCCAGATTATACGGAAACGCGGGGTGCGTGCGGCCATGCCGTGGAGGGTGAAGAAGCATAAGGCACACATGTAGGAGATAAAGTAGAGAAGGAAAGAGAAAACGAAAAAAGGGGGAAAAAAACTGGAGTTACCGTTTGCCCTCCCGTGCCTTTGGTTGTACTTCGATATCGTTACCTTTATTTACAACACCATCGTTCTGCCCTTCACACACCTTCGCAGTGGGACAGCAGGGTCGAGAAGTAATAGGAAGAGGAAAGACCGGAAGGAATGTGTTGAAGAGAATGAGATGGGTGGGAAATGAGTAGGCAAGACGGGAAACAAAAAAAAAAAAGAAAAAAAAGGAGAGTCTAAATAAATGGTAGAGTTATGGCAAACGGTTCCAGAAAGAGAAAAGAATGAGGGAAAAATAGATCAAGGAACTGTAGGGTGGGAGTTTGGTAGTTGATGTTTTTTACCCTCTCTTTGGGGTGTAGACAGACATTTATATGGGCATTGTCTTGGGGAAAACGTGGGGGAGTTATCAAGACAGTATTCCATGAAGAAGAAAAAAACCAAAACGTTGTTTTATTTATTGGTTCTGTTTTTCTGTGTTTAAATAGTTTTCTCTTCGCATACACAAAAATAATAATTTATTTGTTTTTCTCGGTTTGTATTTCTTCCTGTAGGGTAATTGGTGTATTATGAGTCATGTCTCGACGGAACTGCCATTAATGTTGGGGGTGGTGGTGCCTTTATCACTAATAAGTAATGCATTTAGGTTTTTCGTAATATTGTTGGTTTTTTCGTTAGGTATCACTCTACATCTGTTTACCTTACCCTATTTATTTAATTTTGTTCTGGCTACATTGTTTGTATGGTCATTTATGCATATGTGTTTTTGACCCAAAGAAACAATAAAGGGAAAAGAAAGAGATAATGTGTGTGTGTGTGTGTGTGTGTGTGTGTGTGTGTTGACGACCACCCTATTTAAGTGAAGGTAAAGCAAAACGAAAAGAGGGATGGGAGAAAAGTAACACATATCATAGGGGAAGTGCTTGTGTTTTGTTTCGTTTTTTTTACTTTGTCTCCTTAATATTGATATTGTTCTTTGTTTTAGTAGAATCTTTACTGTATCCAGTGTTTATTTTCTACTCCTTTTTTATTTTTTTATTTTTATTTTTTTGCTGAATGTGAAAACGTGTTTGTAGTTCTAAAAGAACGGATAAGAAATAGGGAAGAGCGTTGGAGAAGGAGAAGGAGAAGGAGAAGGAGAAGGAAAGAAAAGGAATTGAAGAAGTGGAGGAAACTAACGGGAAATACGAGCGGAAAAGAGGTCACTTGAAAGAAGTGAACGGAAGAGAAAAGAAGAAGAAGAAAGAAAAGAAGGAAAACTGGGAATACAGATAGGTGGAACTATTCAACGAAAGGGAAATCCCCAAGCATAAAGAAGAGAAAACGAAAGAAGAAGGTTCTTCTTGTACATCATACGTGTTACACACCGGGTATTTACATATTTACATAAGTAAATAACGAAAAGAAAGAAAGAAAGAAGAAAAGAAAAAAGGGAGGAATCAAAGAAAACAAAAATAAACAAACAAGTAAAAAGAAACAAGGAAGAGGAGCAAAAAATAAATGACTGTGGCGATAGATCTTTTCGGTTGTCCAGGCTCTGGTATCAACGAGGGATCTGTAAACTCTACAGATGCGGCCATATTTACAGAGGTACCAGAAACACCTCGTGTTTTGGCAGACTCACATTGCTATTTGGCATATACCATGAAACGCTCACAAACCCTGCGTGTTGTACAACGCTCTAATCTTTTAAAGGGTTCTCTACGTGCACATACAAAACCTATTCACGCTGTGCGATTTGTGAATTACCGCAGTAACGTTGCGGCCTCTGCTGCTGAAGGGGAGTTCTTTGTTTGGGTTGTAACAGATGACTCCGTTGGTACAGGTCGTGATGTGGAGAATGCGGAGGGTGGGGCACGTTTGAGTGTGAAGATATACTTTAAGCTGAAGGATCCAGTCACAATTCCGTGTTTCTCCTTCTTTATTAACGCAGAGAACCGACGACCGGATCTACTTATCTTGTATGATACACAAGCCGCTATTCTCAAAAGCTCTGCATTAATTGCTAAGTATGATAGGGAACCACTAGAGGCAACTCTGCGACAAAATAGTACCCCATTGCGTACACTGCAGCAGGCCGTCAGCGTCTACAACAATAACAATAATAATAATAACAACAATACCCCTGCTTTATGTGCGGTAGGCTCTGGTGGTTGGTTTGCATTCACAACAGAGCCAACGATGGTCGCTGCGTGTACATTGCAGAACCGCAATACACCATCGTGGTTGTGTTGCGGTGGTGACACTGTGCGGGCATTGCAGTTACTCGACACACCACTGGAGGAGAGCAGCACTGTACTTGTGGCGGCCACTACACAAGCCGTCTTTCAATGGACTCTCACCGGCGTCGCTGAACCAACCCTACTCCGCCGTTTTGTGGTTGGTCCAGATGCATCTATTGTTGCCATGGAAAGTTCCCGTGAGACATTTGCTGTATTTGATGATAAGAAACGAGTGGCAGTGGTGTCTGTACAGCCACCTGAGAACTTTCTGTGTACACAGTATGTTATGCCAGCACAAGTGCGTCGGGGTGGATTGTGTTTTAACCGTGTTGGTGGTGTCAGCAGTGTGTTGGTGGATATATCTGATCGACTCACGGTGTTTGTGTTAAAGGGCCCAGAGAAGAAGGGGCAAGAAACAGCTCTGCAGCTGGGACGAGAAAAACAGGAAGAATCACAAGAACAAAGAAAGAAAACAACAACAACAACAACAACAACAACAAAAGATACGGGTAGTACTCCCACTACAGATGTGAAGAAAACAACAACAACAACGACGGCATCTCCACCTCCAGCAGCCACCGGGAGTGTTGGCTCGAGAACAATTGAGGCACGTGCGGGTAGCCGAATTATTGCGAATTTGGTAAGCCAATTGGGTCTTTCCCCTTCACAAGTACACAGCGCCACCAGCAGCAATATCAATAACAATAACAATAACAATATTACTACCACCACAGGAACAACCACCACAACAACTACTACCCCTCCTGTGCCACAACGCACAAGTCCGTATCTGCACGGCAGTCGACCCGCAACAGCCGGATTGGCAGCCACTAGTGGAATAACTCCACCAGGAGCGGCACCGCCATCCTCATCGCCAGTATCAAAGATGGGAACAACAACAACAACAACAACAACAAATACCGTGAAAAAAGAGGATGCGGCTCATGTGCATAGTCCTGGAGCCCCTGCTACTACTAATGCTAATGATACGAATACTACTACTACTACTACTGCTGCTGCTGGTGGTAGTGTTAGTACTGGTAGTGGTGGCAATGCCCCGCGGCCAGCACTGCATAATGCTTCTCTTCCACAGGCTCCAACTGATGGTGTACTGGCAGCCGCTGTTTCGCAGTCTGAAGATGAAGTGCGTCAGGCATTAAAACGTCTAGAATCTGCAATGGCCAACACCTCGCAGATCCTTCAATTGGTTCCAGATACCATTCGTCGTGATCATGAACAACTTCTGAACCTCAGCTTAGAGGCACAAATGACAGAACTCCAACAACGCATGCAGAAGTTACCACAACAATCACCAAAATCACAAACACAACAACAATCTGGAAGTGGTACCAGTTCAGCTGCCTTTGATACCTACGCACTTGTGATGCTTATGGATGCCTTATCCCGTAATATTACGAAGGGTGTCACTCGTGGTGTGGAAGAATCTATAGCGACACATCTCGATCATGAGGTGCGACAGGCAATAGGAAACCGCGTTCGTAATGCGCAAAAACAAATCCTTAAGAATCGCCTGGATGAAGCCTTAAAGGAAAGTACCACTCAATTCGTCAGTCAACTGGAGCAGACCGTTCAAGGTGTGGTGCGGCGTGAACTGGCGGAGGTTCTTGGTGGAATTAACGGATCTCTAAAGGCGTTGGAGCTTGAGAACAGCGCACTGCAGCGGGAATTGAATGTAGTGATGTCCAGTGGAGTGGTGGAGGAAATGCAGCGTATGCGGGAGGAACTGCGTACACTGCGGGAGACGGTGATGAGTCGTCAAACAGCCGCGAATGGATCTGCCATGCACGCCACCAGTACATTTCAAGGACGACGACCGGCTCCAGAAACTATTATGTCCACCACACTTTCTCTTATGCGAGAACAACAACAATATAATCATGCATTGCAGTATTTACTCCAATGTCATCAACCCCCACTGGTACTGCAGTTCTTCACAACACTCAGTCATGATTATGAGAACACGTACTCCGATCTCATTGAGGACACGAGTATCTCAAATGATGTGTGGTGTCAAGTTTTATTGCAACTCGTAGAGGCGGCAGGGGCGTCCACCGCAACGGAAATGCAGCGGGAAGTGGTGGTGAGTTTCGCCGTGGATATTCTCTCAGAGCGGGAACGCATGTTGGGTAGTACACATGGTAAGAAAGTCACCACCGCCATGCGGGATTTTGCAAGGAACGTAAAGGAGACGGTAACAAAGGCAGATTTTCTGCAGAGTCTAAAGAACTTGGAAAAGTTACTGCAGTAAGAAAGAAGAAAAAATAAAAATAAAAATAAAGAAGAAGGTAGCAGTTATAATCAAGGTAAAAAAGAAAAAAAAAGAAAAGAAGATGAAAAACAAAACAAAAGGAGAAATACGTACACCTATATATATATATATATATATATATATATATATAGTTGATGGAGTGTGAATGAGAAACGTGGAAGGTGAAAGAATGAAGAAAAAAAGAAGAAATATACAGTGTTTACACTCATAACCAAAAAGAAAAAGGAGGTTTAAAAATGAATTACGAAAAAGAAAAAGAAGAATAATGAAAATTGCAGTAGACGCCAAGAACTAGACAAGAGCGAGAGAGAGAGAGAGAGGAGAAATACTCTTTAGGTTAGTACTTAAATAGAGATATTATTTGATGATGTACGAGACAGATAGCTCTTTCTGGTTGATGCAACACAAGCAAAATTAACACTCAAAATAAATGCTTTTCAAGAGGGAAATAATAAATATAAAACAACATGGAATGAAAGTATGGATAATAATAATAATAATAGTAATAATAAAGAAGGAGTAAACAGCTGTATATGTTCTTTTCTTTTCTTTTCTATCTTTCTCTCTTGATGTTGTTTCTTTTTTTTTTTTTTTAATTCCTGAAATGTGTTGTTTCTTTTTCTTTTTTTTGTTTTTCTCTTTTTCTTTCTTGATTCATTGCTTCTCTACATTTGTTAGAGTTTCTTTGAATAGAAGAAGAAGTGATGGAGGAAATGTGTTGTCGTTTATGATTATGATTGTTATTGTGGATATTCGTATAGGTGGTGTTTGGTCGTATGATAGTAGTGGAGGTTAGGATAAATAACAGCAATAAGAAAAATAAATAAATAAATATATATATATATATATATTCCTATAGATGGGATGTATCTACATGGCAGTTGAATGCCTTTTGTATAGCCACGTCTATGTGTTTGTGTGTGCATATATATATACATATGTCTGTGTGTGTGCCTTATGGAGAGGCATTGTGTATGCTCTTTTTCAATGTTTTCTTTCTTGTTTTCGTTGTTTTTTTTTTTTTTTTTTTTTTTGTTGTTGTTTTCTTTTTATCTTTTTTTTCTCTGTTTATTTTGCAGCGGAAGGCGTGGCAAAAAAAAAAAAAAAGGCACTGCCGTGTGTGTGTTTATTAAATTCGTTTTTTTCTTTTTTCTAAATATTTACACTTTTTATTATATCTATCTATATATGGATAGATATTGATTGATTTTCTCCAATCATTACATCCATTGGGGGGATTGGTAGTAGAGTACTCTTGTGTAGATCTATAAATTAATCATTCTTCTTTTCTTTTTCTCTTCTTTTCTTTTATATATTTATATAGTTTTTTTTTTTCTTTCTTTCTTTCTTCCGTGAGGGTTTCCTCTCTCCCTCTCTCTTTCTTTCTTTCTTTCTCTCTTTCTCTCTATCTTTTTATTTCAAACATTCATTCATTCATTTATTTATTCATTCATTCTCGCCTAGATGCAACGCACACTACGCCGATGTCCACCGTTGCTTATACTCACTACATGGCGCCGGACTGTTTGGAGTAAGGCGCACAGTACTACCGTTCACAGCAGCAGCAGTAATAATAATAATAATAATAATAATAATAATAATAATAATAATAGTGATAGTAATAGTGTTATTGTTGTTGGGGGAAATATAGAGACAACGGCATTGCGGGAGGCCCGCCGATTCGCCTCTTCAATGATAACAAAGCGGAAAATTCGAAGTAAGACAACACGTGTAGCGGCCACTAGAGTTAACGCGGAAACCACAAGACGACAAACACAAGAAGGAAAAAAAGAAGAAGAAAAGGAAGAAAAGGAAGAAAAAGAACAAAAAGAAAAAGAACAAAAAGAAAAAGAACAAAAAGAAAAACAACAACAACGTGTGGAGATGATGCATAGAGAAGAAGAAACTGTGGTAAAGGCAGCAGCAGCAGCCATGGTAGCGGAGGCAGACTTGATTCAACAAAAATATATGAATAGTAATCCAGTCTATAGTAATAGCAACAACAACAACAAGAGGAACAACAACAACAACACCAATATTAATAATAATAACAACAGCAACAACAACAATGATAATCCCAATGGGACCCCTACTCCAGTTACTCCTACAACAACAACAACAACAACAACAACAATAACCGAAAGCAGTGAAGTTAATACTGCTGCTGCTGAAATAGGTTCTCTGTTAGATCTTGAAAACCCACTCAATCTACGCTTAGCAACTCTTATGCAACAACATGGAAAGGCATTTCGTGCCATTGCAGTCACCTATTCCACAAAGCGAGATTATAACTTTGAAATTGATTTCACAGATATTGCCTCTGGGGTAACTCTGCAGTGTAAACTAGATAAGGTGCGAACAGTTTACATGTCGTGGGTTCGTCAATTCCACGCGGCGTGGGTTGTGTTGTTTGTGCCTACACTCTCAACAGCAAATTCAACACTTTTGGAAAATGCGATATTATTTGGTGGAATTGGTAGAAGTGGTGTGACTACTTCTACTCCTGAAGGTATGAAAGGAGGAAATAAAGAATTTGAAGAACCAGATCATATTCTTTTATCCTATACCAAGATGCGAGAAGTACTTTGTAAAGTTAAACGTGATGAACAGGTGAATAGTGAATTACTTAGTAATGCCGTACTAAATGCCTATGCAGATGATTGGAAGAATTTCATTCACTCTCCTAATTCCTGTTCTCCCATGGCTGTAGTAACGGCGGCCTTTGACTTTCGACTCACACCTGGACAATCACCACTTAACAAATCACTCCTACACGCACAACTCTCATCCGCCGCTACAGCCCTACAACCACCTGGTAAACGCAGTACACTATCATCATCATCATCATCATCATCACGTACATCGACGGCTTCTATGAATACAACAGCTGCGGCTGCTGTTGTTTCTAGTAGTAGTAGTGGAGGAGGAAAGAAAGAATCTTGGATGTTGGTATTTGTATCTGCTCCTTTGGTGAGTGCATCTTCTAATGCTAATGCTGCTGCTCTTACTACCGTACCACCCATGCAAGACCTTCTCACAGGTGAGTTTGTAGAACCACTATTGCTTAGTGAAAGGAATGTGATTTATATTATTGGTACAGGTACAGCAGCGGAATGCTTTGCACAGTTTCCACTTGTACGAAAAGGTAAACAAAAGGTTTCCATTCTTTTACAAGATATAGAAAATCAATTAGGACTACGACGAATTAACCGACCCACACTTACCACCACACTTGTACAAGCATTAGATCTCTTTTCACGCTATACATGGATAGGATTAATGCAGCCAGAGGATGGCACACTGCGAGTCCCGCGATCTCCCAACACATTCGTTACTTTACATAGACGCTCCGTTACTTGTGAGAGTGTTCCAAACTTTTTGGAATCATTAGTTTCCAAAGGCCATCATCTCTCCATCTCTGGTGGTGGTATGCATACAGATACTAGCGGAGGAGGGGCAATGGCACAAGGGAAATTAAATCGACGATTGGATGAACATATTAAAGCCATTTTTAATAATAATGGACGATTGGAACGGGAAAAGGCATGGCGTACAAAATTACGGAATTGTGGTTGTTTCTTTGTAGAAGTGAAATCTGCAAATGTAACGGCAGCACGTCGTGCGGATAATCCTTTCTCTGCTCGTAATGGTATTGTAGAGTTTCATGGTCAATTATGGCCCTCACTGGATGGGGATAGTGGGAAGAAATCACCACCTGTAGAAACTTTAACGGCGAAATTCAATGCGAATGGGGATGTGAAATCCTTTGTAGATCCTAAATCTTGTATTCCAGAGAATTTACCCACAGAAAGTGAAAATGGATTAGAAAAGAAACATAAACCTCAACAATTGGCTTCAGGTGGTATTATTATCGCATGGGATGTAAAACGGGTTCTCTTATTTCTTCGTGATAGTGAAAAACTACGAGAGTTTCTTCAGAATGGTGGTCGTATTTGGTGTGCGCAGTATGCACAGTATCTTTTACGAGGATTTAATCACGATAATTTAGTTACCATGGAACGAACTCTTTTACAGTATAATATGGGACAAGGTAAACTACATTCTCTTGAGAAGCTTAAAATGATATTTGAAAAACAATTAGATATCGCTGTAAATACACGTCAACTTATTTCTATTTTACATCGTATGGATGGATTACTCGCTGCTACAGAGATGGAAATACGTGGTTTACAACTTGCTAATCAAGGAGAAATAACAAAATTTTCTCAACAGTTAAAAACAACACATGAGAAATTAGAAAAACTTGTAAATGAGAAAATTATGGAGTTTACTACTAGTATGGATGATGAAGTACGAAAAAGAATTAACTTTCGATCTCCACAAGATATTAGTACTATCATATATGGTGGAGCGCTTTGTCGTCATTTAAATTCTCGTTATCTCTCACCTCAACAGGCAAAAACACCCGTAACGGCAATATTACCTCATGCAGTTTGCCGTGTAACAGGAACACCCATACCAGATGCTTATACACAACCGGAAACTCTCTTGGGATTAACAGGAACTACTAGCAATGGAAATATTGTTAGTAGTAGTAGTAGTAGTAATAAACGCGGAGCGTCTGGTCTCAAAGAGGCATCTGTACGTTCAGCTTTATCGGCCATAGAAAAATATACTGCACGAAGTACAATAGATAATCTTTTTAATTGTACAGCAGTTGTGGTGGTAACATGTAAAGTGCGACCTGGTAATTTTCTTGAAGCCTTTTCTTTATATTGTCCCAGTAGTGATAGTGAGGATGAACTAAGATATAATATTGCTATTGATGATGTGGTTCCTGTAACGGATGAACCTGAATTATTGACTGTAATTCAATTAAAGGAAAAAATTGCTCACTATAAACCCTTACGGGCCTTACAACCATTGAAAAAACATGGGAAGAAAAGTTATGATTTGCGTAATCTTCTTATTCTCACAAACTGTGTTCATGATAAACTCACTGTGTTAGTAGAGACTGGTATTGTGCATACTATAGCAGAAACTGTACTTGGCCGAAATATGGATGAAGGAGGAAATCTCCCACTTGAACGTGTTTGTTTCTGTGATCTCTATCGTGCCTTTCCACCTCCTGGACAGGGAAGTGATAGTTTTGAGAATGACTTTATGGGTCTTGTAGATGCTGCGGAACATGCCGGATTTTCTGCCCGCTCTAACTGGGAAGCTGCTGCCCGTGAGTTTATTACCCCCATTACTACTACTACTACTACTACTAATAATAATAATAATAATAATAATAATAATAAACATTGCAGCAAAGGAGGTGATGGGGTGGCAGCGGCTATTAAAGCGCTCATCTCACACTGCGCCGCAACTGCCGGCACCTCACGTGATCCTTTTCGCAGCACCCACCCGCTTCCATGTGTGTTGAACACTGGAAAGTGTAATTCACATCCACAGGAACGGGCCTCTACGCGGGGTTTATTGTGGATCGTCACACCTGCAAAACTTCATCCCATGTTGTATAGATGTTTGCGTGGACGTAATGCCTCCTCAGGGGCTGATGCTATTGAACGTATTACTGTTTTACTCTCCGCAGAAAGACAAATTGATCTCTCCTTCTTTAAAGCACTTCAGCAATTACGATTTACAGAAAAGAAAATGCAATTATTTGAAGAAGGTGCCTTATTCCGTGCGGTGTTGCCAGAATGTCGGGATCGTGTACATGGTGAACTCTGTCATGTTGTGACTGCGACTGGTCGTCTCTCATCTCAATCACCAAATTTACAAAATATTCCAAGAGAAGAAGATTTACGTCGTCTTATTGTATCCCGGTTTGGAAGTGTTAATGGACGTATGATAGAGGCGGATTATAGTCAATTGGAAGTTGTTGTGTTAGCAGCACTTAGTCGAGATACTCGTATGTTGCAAGAACTACGAGATAAGGTGGATTTTCATTGTCTTCGTGTGGCTTTAATGACAAAGGAACCTTATGAAGATGTGGTTCGAAAAGCCAAACGAGAAAAAGATCCTCATTATATTCAATTACGTCAACAAGCAAAGACTTTCTCTTTCCAACGGCAATATGGTGCTGGTATTAATACAATTGCAACCACAACAGGATTAACAGAACAGGAAGTGGAAAGACTGATTGCGGCAGAAGAACAACATTATAAAGAACTTGGTCGTTATTATCGATTGGTAACAGACTGTGTAGAGGCTGGAGCCGATCGACTACTACGCTTACGAACATTGGATGCTCCCACATGGGCTCCTGCAATGCGACGGATGATATTATTAACAGAACCTATGCGTTACTTTGTAGTTCCTACTGGAAGTAAATTTGATTTTACAAAAGATCGAAAGAGTATTCCAAGATTAAAGAATTATCCTGTACAAGGATTGGCGGGTGAAATTGTACAAATTATGTGTGGAAAAATTATCCGACGGTTTTATGAACGACATAATTATAATAATAAGGCTTTTCTAGTGAATACGGTACATGATTGTGTGTGGATTGATGCCCATGCGTCAGTGGCAGATGAAGTTATGCATGATGTCTCTACTATTATGTCATCTACATCAGAAGCGATTGGTAGTTTATGGCCTGATATCAAACTGGATGTGCCTTTTAACGCTGATGTTCATATTGGACCTTCTCTGGGAGAACTCTCAAAATAAATGGGAGTTATTATTATTATTATTATTATTATTATTATTATTATTATTATTATTATACATTACATACATACATTACATACATATACCGTTATTTGAGAGTTATTATCTTTTTTTTTATTTTGCTGTGGATGCTTGTAGTTTGAATGCTGAAGAGAAAAAAGAAAAAAATTAACCAGAGAGAGAAAGAGAAAAATATATATATACAAGAGGATGAAGGGTTTTGCTGAAGGAACCCTCTCTCGCCGCGTTATTATTGCTGTTGTTGTGGTTGTTCTTGTTAACGTACTTTTGTGTTTGGTCGTATTTCTTTAGGGTCTCTTCTCTATTCCTTAAGAGAAGACTCTTTCAATTACCATAGAGTGTTATGAAAAACGGAAGGAAAGGTGAACGATGAGTTGTTGATTTTTTTCTTTTTTATCATTATCATTATTTCTTTGATATTACTATTGTTGGACTCATTTAACAGGGAGAAGACTGAAGAGAAGGCAATGAGAAGGATGTTTGAAAAAGAGAGAAAGAAAAAATAAAGGGAAGGGGCGGAACTGGGGATTGAAGTGAAAGAGGAAAAAAGAAAAAAAAAGAAAGGAAATGAATTAAAAGAAAAGAAAAAAAGTTTTTTTTTTCTTATTTGAATGAAAGTGTAGGGGGAGAGAGAAACCTGTAGAGAGTAACATTGAGGAAACAGGTGATGTTGTTGTTGTTTTTTTCTCTTTCTCCTTTAACTTTTCCTTTTTCCCATTCCCTTCTTTTTCTTTTTTTTCCTTTTTGCTATTGTCGTCTTTCTCACTGTGTAATTTCACTCTTCTCACCTTTATGGACAACTGTACCGTTTCTGGCTCAGGTAGGTTTTCTTTATTGGCTGTGCTTCCCTTCATATGGTTGTTTTTCTTTGTATTTACGTTCCTCATGGTTGTTATCATTATCATTATTGTTATTATTATGATTATTTACTCTTTGTTGTTTTTGTTTTTTTTTTTTTTTTTTTACTCATATATCCACTCTCCCCTTCTTTTTCTTTCCTTCCTTTCCTTTCCTTGTGTACCTATGTTTATTTAGATTCGTACAGCAGTTTTATTATTATTATTATTATTTCCTTATACACATTGAAAAGTATGTCCACCACTACAACAACAACAACAACACCGCCGCTGCTCTTTAAAGACACGGAACAACTTGTTGCGAAATGTATGTCGTTGGGTCTCATTATGCGGCGAGGCCCACACGATGTCACTCACGCCTCCGTAACTCTGCAGCCAATGCCAATACCCCGCGCGGAGTACACCGCCTTATGTGAAGAGCAGCCATTATGGAATGAGGCGGTGGATAACACCGCACGGAATTTTGAATTTCTACGCGATGCCCTGCGAGAGACCGCAGCGAGTGATACGGGATTTACCGGCCGGCTGCTGGAGATACTGCAGAAAGTCTATCTTGGCAGTGAACCCTATCAATCCATCATGTTGGGTGTATTTCGCACAGACTATATGCGGAGTGTCTCGGCAGCGGAGTGGAAGAATGTGGAGATCAACACAATCAGTTGCTCCTTCGCAGGATTATCACCACTCGTGACGGAGTTTCATAAACATATCGCGGCTTATCAATCTGCTCTGCAAGGTGAAAGTTCTAATCACCACAATCCTCATCATCATCATCATAATAATAACAATAAGAAGAAGAGTTCTGAAGTGCATGGGGTGTTGGAGCGGAGTTCATCTGCGAAGGAAGTACCGGAGGCTATTGCCGCAGCCGTACAGGTGTGGTCTGAACAACAAAACTTTGAAGCCCTTCGAGCCTCGCATCTCTCATCGCATTCAACAGAATTAAAGCCACCGATTGTATTGGTGGTGGTTCAGGAGAATGAACGGAATACCGGTGATCAATATGCTTTATTGTTTGAAATTTTGGAATCCCATGGTATTATCTCTATGCGGCGAACACTAGAGGAACTTCGCACAAGTATGGAATTACATTCTACTTCCAATGGATTACCACTTGCTGTGGTGGATGGTCAATTTCCAGTTGCGGTGGCTTACTTTCGCAGTACTTATATACCTGCCGATTTACCAAATGAGTCTGCATGGGCTACACGTCTGGCATTGGAACGCAGCAGTGCGATTAAATGCCCAAGTGTACCATATCATCTTCTTACATTTAAGAAATTACAACAATTATTATGTGATGTGGATAAGGTGCTTATCCCGATTGCATTTAAAGGAGATGTTAAAAAGGCAGAATTACTACAGCGACACTTTATGCCACAATATACACTTAACCCAGCGGAAGTGGGAGAGGCGGCTGTAGAAGAAATTATTCGTACGGCTCTTCAACGGCCTGGACAGTTTGTTCTCAAACCACAATTAGAGGGTGGTGGTAATCTTCTCGCCGGTGAAGAGATGTGTACAGCATTGAAGGTTAGTAAAGAGGAGGATCCTCATCGGTATAATAAGGTACGACGTGAATATATATTAATGGCTCATATTGATTATCCAATCTCCTCCGGTGCATTTCTGGTACATGAAAAACTCGTCCAGTTGGAGCATAATATGTGTTCAGAACTTGGTATCTACGGTGTTATCCTCAGTGATGGCAACAAGAATAATAATAATAATAATAATAATAATAATAATAATAATAATAATAATAATAATAATAATAATAATAATAATACTGGTGTTGTTATTCTACGCAACTCCAGTGCTGGTTATATTGTACGATCGAAGCCTGCTAATGTGGAAGATGGTGGTGTAATGGCGGGTGTTGCCGCCCTGGACTCGCTGACACTAATATGAAAAGGAGTAAATGAGCGAAAAAAAAAAAAAAAGAAAAAAGAAAGGAAACAACAGAGTGGGTAGGAACTTACTACTAAACTACCTCTGTTTTGTTTTTTGTTTTTTTGTTTTTAATTTCTTCCTTTTTTTTCAATACAATTTGCCAAAACAAAAGTGCGTGGGTAGAAACGATGGAATTATGTGTATTATCAGCATTCCTTATTACCTCTACTATTATTGTGATTTCTATGATTTTCTCTCTTTCTCTCTGTGTGTCTGTATGTGTTTTTTTCTTGTATGATTATCATTATGTTCTTCCCCTTGTTGAATTTAATCCTCTTTTTTTTTTTGTTTTCTCTTACCAGCATCTATTCCGTTATTCACAGCAAGTAAAACACATACACATTAATAAGTACACACAGTGACATGTATATTCATATATGTGTGTGGGGCAAACATTGCTTTTCTTATCAACTAGTGGGCAGTCAGCTGCATATTTGTTCTTTTTTCCATGGACAACTGCGGCGTTACCCCGCTTGGAGATTTCCAACTATCATAATTTATCCCTCTAATGGCCCTTCCTTCACGGTTAGTGAAACCCAAATGATAATAATGATGATTCCTTATCTCGATTCGACAGAACAATAGATGCTGTAAAATACATATCCGCAGAGAAGTCTGATATATACTCTTCTTTTTCCCCTCCTTTGTTTACTAATTGGTTTAATTACACCTACTTCATCTTGCAGTCGCACATACATACATATATAAAGAAGTATATATATAAACTAGTGGGCAGTCAGCTGCATATTCGTTCTTTTTTCCATGAACAACTGCGGCGTTACCCCGCTTGGAGATTTCCAACTATCATAATTTCTCTCTCTAATGGCCCTTCCTTCACGGTTAGTGAACCCCAAATGATAATAATGATGATTCTTTATCTCGATTCGACAGAACAATAGATGCTGTAAAATACATATCCGCAGAGAAGTCTGATATATACTCTTCTTTTTTCCCCTCCTTTGTTTACTAATTGGTTTAATTACACCTACTTCATCTTGCAGTCGCACATACATAAAGAAGTATATATATAAACTAGTGGGCAGTCAGCTGCATATTCGTTCTTTTTCCATGGACAACTGCGGCGTTACCCCGCTTGAAGATTTCCAACTATCATAATTTCTTTCTCTAATGGCCCTTCCTTCACGGTTAGTGAAACCCAAATGATAATAATGATGATTCTTTATCTCGATTCGACAGAACAATAGATGCTGTAAAATACATATCCGCAGAGAAGTCTGATATATACTCTTCTTTTTTCCCCTCCTTTGTTTACTAATTGATTATATTTTCCTTTTTTGTTGTTAAACTTGCATGGAAAGGAACCAAAAAAAAAAAAAAGAAAGAAAGAGAAAAGGGCGCTGAAAGGGGTTATTTACCTTCGCCATGGTTCACTCAGACATTATTGCATTATAAAAGAAAAGAAAAATGACTCTTTCTTTCTTTCTCTCTTTCTTTTCTTTCTTTCTTTCTTTGTTTTTTTCCTCTAGTTGGTTAGATCCAATTATCTGAATCAAGGAAGTAGGTGTTACATTTCTCGTGTAAAATGCCTCCTCGCTTTTCAAAGACCGCCGGCAGCACACCCTTCACGCAGAGAGCTCTCAACATCTTTCAAACGTACAGACGCGATATCTTTTTTTCTCTGGTGGCTCTTCTCGCGCTGGGAATTGTCGCCCGCCGGGAGATGATGGTGAACGGCGTGTTGGGCCGCCCAGAGCGGGTGGAGGTGATGCCGCGCGTGGAGCGGGAGTTCGGGAAGAGTGGACAGAGAAGAGGTGGTGGGGCAGCGGAGTAATCTCTGATCTCTGTAGGCGATGAAGAAGAATAAATGAATGAATGAATGAAGGAGTTTATATATATATATATATATATATATATATATATAT